TCGGGGCAGCGGGACCTGTCGTAGCCTCCTTCTCTGCGGATGGGGGAGGCGGCCGGTCCATCCCCGCTCCCGCTGCTTCGTCTCCGGGGACGGAGGGCGTCGAGCGCGCGGCGGCACGGAGGAAAAAATGAGAATTAAACAACAGCTTAATTGCATTTGGAGCCACGATTGGGTTTTTTTTTTGCTCATTAGGGATCATCGGCGGAGCGGTGCGGGTGTTTCCCCTGAGAGACCCCCATCCCACTCATCCTCTTCCTCACGGGATGAAGGCTGGGAGCTTCTCCCGGTACAGCCTGTGCCGTCGCCCACCGCTCTGCCCCACAGCCCCTTTCCTCCAATTTCCTCGCTTATTTTGGGGCGAGCAGCTCCGAATTTGGTTCCTCGGATCTCTCTCCATCATGGCGCGCTGCCATGATGGGGTGGAGGTGGCGGCGGCCCCAGACCCCTGGAATTTCAGCTTAAAATCCCAAGCCACAGCCGGGTGATTTACACATTTCCCGCACCGCTGCGGGAATTTTCGTAATTTTCCCCGTTATTTTATTAGTGGTTCGTAATTTTCCCCGTTATTTTATTAGTGGTTCTTCATCACAATTCTCCCGTTATTTTACCAGGGGTTGGGGTCAGCAGGTCAACACCGCCTCTCCCCTCATCCCTTCCTCGCTCCGATGATGACGGCGCCTTCCCGAAACTGGCGGGTGGCACCCTAATTAGCCGCTCCCGCTAACGGGGCAGGAGAAGCAGGATCCGGGCCTGGCGTTTTGCGTCTCATTTGCGGCTTTGCGAGGATCCTGCCCTCAGGAGCGCTCGCTCCCGGGTTCGCATCCCGCCATCATCGTCTTTATTTCTCCCAGGAAGATTGCCGGGGGGAATTAAAAGGAATAAAGCCACGCTGGCACAGAGACGCTGCTGATTTATCTTTAATTTAATCTTCTCGTCCTCATTTATTGCCGAGCCTCCCCTGGCGGGGCTGAGATGCCCTCCTCCTCCCCCGCCGTACCCCTGCCCAGCTGGATTGTCGTCCTGCCCAGAGCGTATCCCGCCAACGCCATTTATCCGTGTGTTTGCAAGTGTGGGCTCTGCTGCGTCCCCCAAATGAAATTCCCAATTGTCCTTGCTGGGGAACCTGGCAGGGATGGGATGGGATGGGATGGGATGGGGATAGGGATGAGGATGAGGATGAGGATGAGGATGAGGATGAGGATGGGGATGTGGATCCCTCACAGGGGTGGGGATGGGAAGGGATGGCAGTTGAATGGGATGGGACAGGATGGGGATGGCGTTGGGGATGGGAAAGGGATGGGGTTGGAGATGGGATGGGGATGAGATGGGGATGAGGACGGCAATGGGGATGACATGGGGACGGGGTTGGAGACAGGATGGTGATGAGGATGGGGATCCCTCACAGGGGTGGGATGGGAAGCGATGGGGGTTGAATGGGATGGGACAGGATGGGGATGACATGGGGATGGGGTTGGAGATGGGATGGGATGAGATGGGGATGACATGAGGATGGCAATGGTGATAGGATGAGATGGGAGTGATGATGGGGATGACATGGGGATGGGGTTGGAGATGGGATGGGATGGGGATGAGGATGGGGATCCCTCACAGGGGTGGGCATGATAAGGGATGGGGGTAGGATGGGAGGGGATAGGATGGGGATGACATGGGGGCAGGTTGGAGATGGGATGGGGATGGGATGGGGACCCCTCACAGGGATGGGAAAGCTCATGGGGATGGGGATACCTGGCAGAGACGGGGATGGGATGGTGCAAACCTGGGCCGGGTGCCCTCAAATCTCCCAGGACAACCCCACAGATAACTGACCCCGGGGCGGTGGGAGGATGCTGGGGCGGGGGGCGGCACCACAGTGTCCTCCGGGATACAACATGGCTCACGCTGAGCGCGGGGAGGGGACGTGAGCAGCCCAGGGTGGCCGTTGTGTCATTTTAAAGTCACCTGCTGGCACCGAGCCCTCGGAAGGCGCCGGAGGCATCAATCTCCCGGGGCTGTTGCTGTCAGTTGGGTATTTAGTGAAATGTTTCTTAAATGAAGGCTTGATGGAAGAAGAGGGATGGCTGCACCGTCCCGAGCCGCAAGGTTATCCCTGCCGCCGCGCCGGCTGCCAGCTCCCGGCGCCCGCTATTAAACCCGGGGAGGGCGGCTGCGATAACCTCCCGGGGAGGTTTCGGGAGCCGCTACCCGGTGTGGCCATGAGAGGTATTTTGGAGCAAATCACACCTGTGATGAGGGAAACGTTGGGTAAAGCTGCGGGCAGCTGGTGCAGGTGGGGAGGGAAGGGAGAACAGGAAAGGCTTTGAGAGCCCCGTTTAATTTGGGTTCTCAAGGGGGGAAAATAGCCCCTCCGTGGGAGGAGGCAAGACTTCTACTTCAGGTTAATTTTTCTTTATGAAAATTGGGAAAAAAAAAAAAAGAAAAGTGCCTGTTCTTAGCATTTCTCTGAGTGGATGCAGCCCGGGATGCTGAGGGTGGCGGCGATTCCACTTGTTCCTGCCAAGAGACCGCACGGGGAGACAACTCCCAGAGACCTCAGGGAAGGACCTTCTTAAACTCATTAACAGCATAAAAAAAGATCCGTGGGAAGCGCAGCCTGCCCGGGAAGGACTGTGGTTGCGCAGGGCAGGATCTGGTGGTTTTTCTTTGAAAGGGGCACACGAGAGGGGAGCAAAGGGCTCTGGCAGAGACACGCTCAGCCCCGGTGGCACCACGCGAGGGTGAAGCCATCCCTGACCCCACCTGGCTGAACTTCATGCCGTGCCCTCAGTGATAGCAGCAGGAACGGGGATAAAATGCGACAAAATCCACATTAGAGCGCCCGTGCGTCTGCGACACGGGTGGGCGCTGGTACCGGGCAGCTCACTGAGCGGCTTTTCTTTGCTACAGCCAACGCCAAAGTCAGGCTCCAAACCAAAACTCTTCGCTGAGCGTTAAGGCTGTTTAGAAATTGTTTCCAAGCCTCCCTCGCAGCATCCCTGCAGCCTTGTCCTCGCTGTACGCATCACCCCAACAAATCTCCCGGCAGTGAGCTTTGCCTCTGGGACACGGCTGTGCCGGGCCAGGCTCTGCTCCCATCCCGCCGTCGGCACGCCAGCGCTGCTCACCAGGAGACACCAGCGATCGGTTGTGCCGCAACGGCACGGCGACCTCAGGTAGCGACATCGGCTCCATCTCTCCGGGATGCTGCGAGGTGTTGCGGCGGGATGGCCCGGCACAGTGATGCCGGGGTCTGGTGGGATCCGCTGCCACGATGCCAGGAGCTGGTGGTACCCAGTGCCGGGACGCCAGCACCCAGCGGTACCCAGTGCCAGGATGCTCGGGCCAGGCGGTACCCAGCACCGTGACACCCAGCTCAACAGCAGGCAGCGTCCCCGCAGGACCGTGGTGATGCCCAGTGTCCCCACAGCAGGTGACACCGTGTCCAGGTGGGAGGAGGCGATGGCAGCGAGACTCCAGCGTTCCTGTTCCGGATCTGGCCCTCAGGGTCATCGAGCAGCGGTGGCAGCAGATTCCCGGGGAGGTCGGGAGGGGTGATGCTGCCCGAGGTGATTACCAGGGGAGGGAAAATTAACGGTGAGGGTGAAGGGGTGGGATCCCGGCTGGTGGGATCCTGGTTGAGGTGGCGCCTCCTTCCCCAGAGCCGTGTCCCCATCAGGGCCATGTGCTGGTTGGCAGCGCCAGCTCGCTCTCCTCCATGCCCGGAGAAATATCAGCCTTTGTGCTCTCGGGGCAGCAGCTCCTGGGCTCTCCCGGACAACGGCTGGTCCCGATCCTGCACCAAACCATACGGTCTTAACACCCCGTGGCATGGTCTGCACCTCACTGCACGTTTGCACCCCCTGCGGCACCAAACCACCGCATCCCGCGCCCCTGTGCCCTCCACCCATGGTCAGGCACCCCATCGCACGATCCTGCACCCCACCGCGTGGTCTCGCAACCCATCGCGTGATCCTGCGGCCCGTCACATGGTCCTGCAACCCCACCACACGGTCCCACACCCCATGGTGTGGTCCTGCACCCCATCACAGGGTCCTGCACCCCATCACAGGGTCTTGCACCCCATGGTGCGGTCCCGCACCTCACTGTGTGGTCCTGCACCCCATCACACAGTCCTGCGGTCCACCCCACGGTCCTGCACCCCACCGCATGGTCCTGCACCCCATCACACCTCGCCCAGCATCCCCCCGCTCGGCCCCAGCAGCCTCCGGCGATTCATCCCCAGCTCGCAGAGGGAAACTGCGGTGATTTGAGCAGCTCCACATACCTTTTATTTTAGAGCATCCATATATCATCCCCTCCCTGGTGCTCTGCCTCGGTGGCTGAGGGGACACCTCTAGCACCAGCCGGAGGTTTCGGCTCTGGAGTTGCGGCTTCCTCGCCAGCAATCCTCCCTCTTAGCCCGTTAAGCCACTAATTAAGGCAAGATGACCTATGTCGGGCTTTTAATTATAGCCTTGCAGCAGCTCCCCCAGGGGAGGTGTCGGGGCACGGGGAGATGCACCGAGCTGGCCAGGTCTCTGCCGGGAGTAGGGTGACCCTGGGTGCCATCCCTCTGGTGAGGATGCCTTTCCCCTCTCCCTCTCCCTC